TTCTCACTCGTTTCGTTTCATCAATCAAAAAATGCAGCCAAAAAGAATAAAAATACTTAGATATAACATAAAATTTCAAAAATAAAAACGCAATAATCAATTGCCACCAAGTCACGCAAGAATCTTCCTTCTCTTCCTCTCCTATTTTATCAGCAACCAAACAGCAAAAAAGGTTATCACAAATACACACACGAACTCGCACGGCAAAATACATACATATACACACACACACACACACACAAAAGATAGATAAATTGATACTTTACCTAATACGAAGCACAATTCAAAAGGAGAATATTCAAATTCGAGCTCTCTGAAAAGACCGGAAAAACGAAAGAAAAAAGTAGGATAATGCGTCAAGCGATTCTCGGTTTCCTTTTCCGTGAAGTCGTCGTTCGAGTTCACTGACGCGTTTGGATTTAAATTAAGTAGAGGTGTGAAAGAGAAAAAAGGGAATGAAAAGAAATAAATATTCCAGTTTACTTTCTCTGTCCTCCTTTCTTCTTTTCTGTAGTCTCGTCGTGGTACGTTGTTTACCATTTCAACGTCTGTAAACAAAAGCCAACGGAGGAAAGTGGGGGAAGTCAGCTGCGAGCTCGAATGAGAAATCCGATCGCGATCAAGTTGTGTGGGGTAAGAAATTGATGGCAAAGATGGAATGTTCACGTGCGGGAGAGTCCACTGTTGCATTTTCTAACGTCCAATGAGAACACGACACGTAGGATAAAAGATGATGTCTCAGAGGATGATTGGCAAATATAATTTTGAACGAAAGAAGTTGTCGTAGCGGATACGGGCCAGCGTCCTATTCTATAATCGGCACAAGGAACCTTCGCTCTTTTGTCACGGTGGTATTGAGAATTCTCTCTCTTAACTATTTTATAAATGATGATATGATGTTGCTTTGTGGCGGAATAAACAAAGATAAAAATTAATTTACTATTAAATCATTTGAATAGTTTTTAAGAAAAAAATAAATAAAGACCGAGAAAAAATAAAGTCAAAAACGACATAAATAGAGTGGTTAACTTTACATATAAAATATAAATGAGGTTCTTTCTTCTATAATAATTTAATTTATTAAAACTATTGTAATTCAGTGATTCGTTTCTTCTGTTATCAACTAGTGACACTAGTTCTATATATTATTTATGTGAACCAATAAAAAATGAAGTTCATTAAGAAGAGAATTGTACCATAGAAAGATGCCAATAATAATAATTTATTTCTTGCATGATTAACTGTCGACACTAGTTTTATTTTTTATCTATATGAACCGATAAGAAATAAAGCTTAGCAAGAAGAAATTTGTACGAGGTCAAACTATTTCAAATATATTATACTATAGATTATGGCAATGCAATGTAGTTGGCCTTTCATGTTGATTCGAATGAGTCATTTCTTTCGCAATTAATTGTTTGGCACTAGTTTTACATTTTATCTTTATGAATCGAGAAGAAACGAGACTCAACGGAAAGAATATTATATCATAGAAGCAAAGAGTTTAACTTTTTTCAAATATATAACGTGGATTCTAGCAGTGCAATGTAATTGGACTATGTATTGATTCGAATGAATTATTTTTTATGGAGAGAATAATAAATTTTATTTTAGCAAAACATGTATTTTTATTATTATGAAATTCATAAATGAAATAATCAATCGTGAGATTCCCATTATTCTTTTTGTCACGACGAAGATTTAATCTCAACGAGTATTATATTTTTAATCAATAGTAAAATTATGAAGAGACTAAATTCTTTTAATTTAGATATTGTAATAAATTAAACAAAATCAATACAATTTTTTGTTAAAAAATAATAATTACTTCTAAATGATGACAATAATTAATTAAAATATGCAATTATTATTATCTATATTATTTTCTTTTTTTAATATACTTTAGTCTATTTTATTATAATTTATTATTTCAGATATTCATATTTGAATAATAAATTTTTTTTTTTATTTTGTGTAAGCTTTCAAATTGAATACTTATGTTCGTAGAGTATATATATTTTTAAACTCTAACAAATAATTAACTCAAAATATATTCTTCTTATTATAATTTTATAATTTATATTTTATCTAATATATTATTTTATTTTTAAATTAATTTATTCGACAGCGTAACAAAGTAATTAATATAAATTGCTTACTGCTCCAATTATTTTTCTCCAGCCCATTTGTAGAATCCAAAAGGATCACACAAGGCCTGAACACTCAAGAGCCCAAAAGCCAGTGAGAAACCCATCTAGATCTCC